ATGTCTGTGGCATTTACCTTAGAAAGGAAGCGCACAATCCTCAGTGCAGAGTTACATCTGCAGTTACAGTTTCGACATAAAAGTAATTAAAAGTTCACTGAAATGATAGACTTCTGTGGTTTTTGCTAACTCCACACTAAAACAGATCCCAAGATTATCTCCTGAACTTGCCTGAATAGCGCACGATTCATTCATGTCAGAAGATGAGGTGACTGTATACCTTTGTTTTATGAATTAACCTATTAAAAAATTGATTTAGGCCAGTATTGGTCATTCACAGCACATAAAAAAAAGTAAAAAGTGTTATGCACCACTGAACCTTTTATTGTTATCATTCTATATATTAATATGATATGAGATTCACATTTGTTGCTATAATTTCTGAGATACAGCAAGCTAAAATAACATTCATCTGTTCAGAAATCCAAGATTTGTTCAGCTGTAGTGAAGACTTGCATTTCATAATTCAGTATGAAGCTTGATTGTTCTGTTTAGCATTTCTATAGCAGTAAAGAACAAAGACTTTGGATTTAAAAGGAGAGATGGTAGAATTTTGGTCTTTGTTAAAAAGTAAATGTTAATTTAAACTGATTATATTCACAGCTTTTTTTCTTCAGAGCTTTTTCTAGTAAAACATGAGAATTTCTTTATTCAAAACAAATTCTAAAACCACAAAGATACCTGCAAAACAGGAAGCTTTTTCCTCTTCTGCTCAACTGAAGGAGTCAGATTTTGTTCTTAATCATACTGGTATAAATGTTGACCACATTTACAAAATTCAGTGGATTTATACCAATGATAAATCAGAATCAGGGCCAGGTCTTTAGCATATGATTCTGATTATTTGCAAGTTTGTTTCTAAGCATACTAAAAGAATAAAGACATTGCATAAGTTTATACTGACTGATATTCTTGAATGACACATAACTGTAGGTTTAACTTGGACCCTGAGAAGAAGTGCACTGACAGCATGCTGTGGGAGGCATTGGAAATAGCACAGCTCAAGCATGTGGTGAAAGCGCTCCCTGGGGGCCTAGGTAATAAGACTTCCTTCTTGAGAAGATTGCTTCCAGTGTTCACAACATTGCTGTTTCACATTTACTATTTATTAAAAAGGCAGTTGCTGAAGAAAAAGCTTTTTAGGTTTATGGAAGGTGACAAAAAGTGCTTGCCTGCAGGCAGAGGTCCTATATCCATCCAGCTTCCTTACCAACTGCACCTGTGGGGCAGAAATCTGTTGCAATTCCAATAAATTGAAAAATTATTATTTTATTTCAGTATGTCTTCATGATGAAGCATTGAGGTTTACAGATACTGTGAATTCAAATAAGGTGTCAACACATCAGGTGTTATCTAGAATATGTTCTTTTGTATTTTCTAATAGTCATCTCCAGGGAGGAAGATTTCAAAAGCTTAAAGCTATGAATCATTTGACTGGGGGGGAAGGGGGGGAACAAAAAAAAACCACCCACAAAAAAAACCCCAAACAAACCAACAACCTTAAAAATGCTAAAGCCTTAGGGTAAAGAAATTCTGGATGCTATTTGACAGGGGGATCCAGTATCTTAGACTGCACGTGTTGCAGAGAAACTTGCTCTTAAGCATCCTTAGCTACACTGATGTCTTAATAGATATAAAGAATATAGTGAGACAGAAGTACTCATTGTTTTGAACAGTGGAAATAAACAGGCAAAACTGGGTCACCACCAGCTGTAGATCTAGGAAATGATACTTTGAAAATCTTTATGCTGAAAGTGAGTTACTGTTTTCCAAGCATATGCTCTGCTCTGATCTGCCTCTCTCCTACACACACCCCATAAATACTGGTTTTGCTATATAATTTCCAGATGCTATAGTCACAGAAGGGGGTGAAAACTTCAGCCAGGGCCAGAGACAGCTGTTCTGCCTAGCAAGAGCTTTTGTGCGGAAAACAAGCATCTTCATCATGGATGAAGCCACAGCATCTATTGACATGGCAACAGTGAGTCTGGATGTTTCTGATTTCTTGCTTTCCTTAACAGGGAGACAACTGCTAATATGTGAAGAAAATGGTGGAAAACAATTCTGTGTACTCTGTAATAGCCATACACCATATTTAGTGCAGATGTTTTTACAAGTCCAGGTAGTTGTGAGTCATTTCTAACTAATCTAAAGAACTTTAAGATAATTTTACCAGGGGTTTAATAGTTATTCTACCATTGCTTGCCTTAGGAAAATGAAGCATGTTATTTTCATGGGCAGTTTGATTTCTTAGAGTAGACAGCTTTGGAAGGTCAGCTGGAATGGTCAGTGAAGAGCAGACTGGCAAGAAGACAAATTTCCCCAGCATGGTGGACAGGACAAGTCAGGAAGTTAGAAAGCTTGAAAGTATAGTTAAGAAAATAAACAGGACAGAAAAGACATACTGGGTTATTGCATTAATTGCATGAAATTGCTAGGCAGAGGTTAAACAACACAATAATAATGCACTGCCAGGATTTTAGCCAAATATGACTTAGATCCACACAGAGAGGGAGGTGCTCTGTCACTGGTAAATATATTTATTGGGCAATCGAATGGTACACTCTTAGGATTTTTTTTTCCTGTGTTATGTTGATAAATGTTTCAGTCTTTTTCATTCTATGAGTAAAGAATATAATTGGAGGGGTTTATTATAACAGCAACAATTTCTAGTTCTGTAGTGTTAGTGTGTTGAATGTCAGTAATGTTGGAAATCATACTGTGTGCAGCCCAGTTAAAACACACTTTGAATTTTGATGCATTGAGGATATAGTTTCTCCCTTGAGATACATATCTAAAAACCAGAAAATAGCAAATAAAGATATCCGTGCTAATGACATTTCTAGGCAGTTTGGTACACAACATATTTCCTAAATAGCAAAGGATGAGTACTTGTTGAGTGAGAACTATGTATGCTAAGACCATCTTAAATATCATCTCCACTGTTAAATACACCAGGTACAGCACACTCTCTTGCTTATCCCAGCCACCCCTTGGTGTTAGATGTCCCCAGTGTGCTGGGACATTCCTGGGCTTCCAGCAGGGTGAAGAACACACTGCAGAGTTGCCAGCACGCAGGCAGCCTGGCAGCACCCTGAATTCACCTTGGATTTCCTCACTGTCAAACTGAGGTCTGGACAGTGGGGGTCTGGGACCCAGAGCACAGCTCTCCTGTGTGCTGAAGCCCAGAGGCAGGGGGGTGGCAGGAGCGAGCAGGCTGTCTAACTGGAGACCAGGCTCTGATTTAATTCTGACATGTTGTTAATTTCTAATTTCAGGCATGGAATAATCAGTGGTTACTTAGGCCTTCTTAATGTCTGTGTGTCTATCATGTAAGTTCTGTTGTTTCAAAAGCAGCAACTGTTTTTCTTTACACAGGAGAACATACTCCAGAAGGTAGTCATGACTGCGTTTGCTGACCGTACGGTTGTTACAATAGCAGTAAGTACCAGTCTCTGTTGCTGTTTTAATGCAAACAAGAATCAGAAGTGCTACCTTAGTCATTTCTTGTCAATGTTAATAAATGTGTTAATTTGACCATTAATCTTTTTTAATGCTGTGTTTAAATGTAAGCTTTATTTACTGTTTTAAACTACTTTCTTATTTATATATGTAACAACAGTGTCTTAGATGTGTTTTGTGATGCTAAGTCTGACTGCCTGTAAAGGCATGTAATCTAAGTTTGCAGTCCGCTTTCTGTCACCCATTTCAGGCTAATTTAAAATATAATATGACTGACTACTGTGAAATCTAATAATAAGTTTCATCAAGACACTGTAATCATTTAATGAAGGATGAGTAAAATTGTGTGATAGTTCTGCCACTGGGTAAAGCAATTATGTTTCAGAATTTAACCAAATAAATGAGAATCTTACTAATTTATAAAAAGAAACATTCCATCCCTGTTGACATTGACTGAATTTAAGTTTCTATATTCCTGAAGTGACTATATAAACCTCTCGAGTATAAAAAAATAGTTTTTTATGAAAGAGATAATCAAGGCAGTTGGCTCAACTGATATGTCAGAAACAATACATATCTTTCAGTCCTCTGTTGTCTAAAAATACACATATTTCAGGGAGATGAAATAAATTCATTATGCTCCTTAACATTTAAAAATTAAACACAAGTCAAGAAAACTATGCTCAGGAATCCTAGAGAGTATTTTTATTTTCACCTACCAAATAGTTAATAAAAACCTGATTTATCTTACAGCATCCATTCAGTGTGTCATTATAAAAAAAGCAAAGAAATCTTAAGCATGAAATTTCCTGATTTCTCTGCATGAAAATTCTGAGTTATGCTGCATTTATGTATCTTTTTCAGTTTGTTTGGAGACAGGCTGAGAAAGTTTATCAGTCTTTCACTGTCTTAGTGAGTTTTAAACAGCACAGTTCAAACAAACAGCATTTTGGAATAAAGTTACTTTGTTTTTACTTCCAAATGTACATGTGGTTTACAGCAGGTGGGTTTGCATTCAAAACACTGCAGTAGAAGCATAATGTGGGGGTTTGGGGGGGGGTTGGGTAGTGGTTTGTTTGTGGTTTTTTCATTTTGTTTTGTTTTGTTCTTTCTCAGAGAAAGGCATAGATTCCTAATTTGTCTTTAGGAAGAATAGGAAGAGTATAGTATTGGGTCTATATTATTATCTGTATTACTCTACTAGGATGGCAGCACTGACTGTGTTATAGTGAAAGAGTTCAGAGAACAAGGGCAGCAAATACAACTGGAATGTGATATTTCAGTCCCCTCCCCCTGCCTGTAGACGGGATAAATGTCACAGGATGACTGCAGCAGAGATGAGATTTGTAGATGCCATTAGTGATTATTTCATGGAATATCTGGCTAGGAAGCCACAGAAGAGTTGTTTTGGTATTGAGGGTGCCCAAGATATGATTAGGAACCTTATGGGTGAAGAGTGACTGTGTAACAGGGACCACAGTATTCTCAGATTAAATATCCCTGCAGGAGTAATGCAGACCCAAAAAACCCAGTGCAGTTACACTCAACTTTAAAAAGTGGAATTCTGTAAAAATGAGGAGGCTTGCTATAAACAAAACCCAAAAATAAATGTGGAGGGGAAAAAAAAAAAAACTAAAAAAGGAAGCAAAGAAAATGGACTCATGGAAATTACTGAAGGTTTTTATTCAAAAATCACACAGCCAGTGCATACTATTTATTAGGAAAGGCTTGAGTAAAGATAGGAAGAAGCTGGTAAGGCTAAACAAATAAAAAAGACTATTAGAAACAAGAAGGCATTCTTGTAAAAGCTGAATTCTTAGCCAAATAAAGAAAACAGAAATTATCGTAAGTTCTGGCATGTTACATATGAAAATGCAGTTAAGGCAGGCCCCCCAAAAAAAGTATGAAAGCAGCTTCTGGAAGCCATCAAAACTAATAATGAATCCATGAATCCCTGAAACACACGGGGAGCAACAAGCCTGTCAATCTACAGGGCCATCTGATGATCGATGCATGAAAGGAATGCTCGGGAAAGATAATGGCATTGCAGAAAAGCTATATTTATTATTTTCATTATTCACTGGGGAAAAAAAAATGGGGAAGTTTCTTCCTAATAAAATAATCAAATGTTAGAGCTTACTAGAGAAAGAGTAGAGAACAAAAAAGAAAACATCATATCACTGTGTAAGTCCACAGTTCGCACGTACCTTGAATGTTGTGTGTAGTTACAGGCTCCTCATCCCCATAATGACATGTTGCAACAGAAAAATGTTGAGAAGCACAAGGCTGATCAGAGGTGTGGAACTGCTCCTTAAGGGGAGCAGCTGAGTAGGCTAGGCCTCTTCTGCCTGGAAGAAGGACAACAGAAGGACGTGTGAGAGAGGTCTGCAAAGTCATGAGGCACAGTGGAAGAGGCATCAGATGAAGCCCTGAGCAGTGAGGTCCAGAGCATACAAAAGGGGGTACTTGTTCGTGCAGTGGGCAGCAGATCTGGAAGAATCTTTTCCAAAGGATGTGGATGCAAAACATTTATGGAAGCTCAAGAGAAGACATGGGCAAAGTCTTAGAAGAGAGATCTATTCAGTTTTGCAAATAACCAAACCACACCAAGCTCAGGAGCCCCCAGATCCAGACATGGTCCAGGATGGGGAGAGTACTCACATGCAGGACCACACTTGTGTGCCCTGTTCTCACTCCTCCTGGCTACCTTCTCATGGCCAAGCGTGGTGGCAGGACTGTGTGCTAGGGACATCATAGTCTGAACTCCTCTGACTCTTCATACTCAAGTACCTATGTCCAATTTAGGTACTTGAATATCCTTGTGGCTCTTGGTCTGTGTATTTATCTGCAGTATTTGCACAGTAAATTAGGACAAAAAGCAGGACAAGTAGCCTTAATTAAACTTGAACTTGTCAGGAAAATTAATTTCTGGAAGTCTGTCTTACCCTAGAATATATTTGATAGATACAGTGAACAGGCATTTTGTTTATTTGTTTTTCAGCACCGTGTGCACACAATCCTCAATGCAGATTTGGTTATTGTAATGAAGAGAGGGGTTATTTTGGAATATGACAAGCCTGAGGTTCTGCTAGAACAAGAAGACAGTGTCTTTGCTTCTTTTGTACAAGCAGATAAGTAATAAAAATAAATGAAGCATTTTAAAGTACAATTGTATTATTTTCTACAAATGTAAAATACCTGTAAATAAATATTATTTCATAATAAATGGAGGTTTTCCTTTTTTAATAAAATGAGCCATTTTTGTCCATCTGAAGCATTAATGAATTGTTCACATACTTTCCTTTTTTGTGTACTATTACTCTTCTTTTTATTCGCTACCAAAGAATCATTAAGTATTGTTGAAAAAAACTACATGGGTGAAATATGGCAGGATATACATCAAACAAACATAGCCAGCATGGAGTTTTTATGTAACTCTTAAATCTTTCCTGTCATTTTATTAATGTTGTATTTTTTATGTGTCATAGCCCTACTGTAGATAATGCTCATGACTGACTAAATGCAGAAAGAAAAATTATATACCAAAGGTATTTCTCAAAAGCCTGTATCTTTTAATCATATGACTCTGTAAAGCTTTAATATCTAAATATAAAGTCTATAAAACTTTTTTTTATATTGTGGTTTATTGATAGTGCCTGTGTCTCTTAGTCTCTCCTTTAATACCTTTTAGAAATTAATCACTAGCTGATTCCTTTAATCTTTCTTAGGCTGCCTCCCTCTGCCCCCATTGAACCATATTATATTGATTCCAAACAGGATTGAGCCAGGCTCCCTGCCCAAATGGTGAGGAAGCTGAAAGGAGGCAGGTTGTGATAAAGTGTATGTGTAACGGACACTGCTTCCAAACCAGTACAGACACACCAATTCATCTGGAAATTATCCCTCCAAATTTGGTAAATAAATAGTAATAAACCTTTCACCATAGCTTAGAGCTATGAGAGCTTAATTCATTGTCTCTCAGTTTCACCTACTTTGCCCATTGTCACACTGTGTCTAGATTCACTGTGATCTTTACCAATAAATTATGTATATTTATTAAGGGAACTTGTAACCACTGAAACTATCCTAATTTGTCTGGACAACTACTTATCCCTGCCCTATCAATCCACTGTGACAATTGTTCCAGGACTTATTAATTGCTAAGGGGTTAGAACATCAATGACCCAATGGAAGGGTACAATGAATTTTTCACCATTATTCTTTTTATAGCAGCTTTGGTTTTACATCCATTTTTGTCCTCTTCCCCTTTTTGAAGAATTCCTAGCACTTGGGTAAACTCCTTTTTCACTTTTAATCTCTTTAGCCTGCTAAATTAATTTGGAATCTATTTTTGAAAGGCCTTGTTTTCTAGAAGACATCTCCGTGTTCTCATGGGATACGTGGTATTCTCTTCCAGCACTGCAGCAGAGAGCAAGGAAAACTGAAGAACTGTTGTTGCTGTAAGTAGAGTTACCACTTCTACAGCGGAGTGTTTGCAGCATCTGCCTGCTCTTATTTGTGCAATACCTAAGGGCATTAATGTGGGGCAGATGAAGTGCATGAGCTCTACCAATGTCTGATATTGCCAAAGAGAGGTAATGGGCAGGTGGGAGATTTTGAGATCATTTTGCTGGGCAGCTTCAAAGTAAAAATAGCTGCAGAACTAGTGTTTTCAGCCTGGCATACCAGGCATCCATTAGGGCTACGAGAGAACAAATGGCAGACAGATGCCCATCCTTCCAGGGTAGCACAAGGGCACACTGAGCAGGTTTCTACTGCAGCTGCTGTGCGTGCTCTCTCCTTGCTGCCCAGCGCTGGTCTCGGGCAGCATCTCAGCCAGCAAAGGCTTAGGAAACACCACTCTGCAGGACATCTCAAACTCATGCTCAGAAGCTTTGCAACCATCTGTGGAAGATCCTAAATCCTAATGGCAAGAGCAGAGATACAGAGAAGTGAGGTTTCATTTGCTTTTAATAAAGTGCCTGGGATTTGACACTGCAATTTGGACTAGCTCCTATTCCACAAGCTTCTGACAACTCTACCTGGACAGGAATGCAAGGGAGTAGAGGACACAGCATATCACTGACAACTGTATTACATCTCACAATATTAAGAAATAAAAACTCAAAGTACATATGTCATGCATTTCCGTGTAAACAGGGCTTAAGTTTACAAAGCAGCTTTGCAGGAGAGCAGGGAAGTGAGTTGGTTCATAACAAATGATTATTTTCCTTTTTAATGATATTGCCCTGCTGGATAAATATGTGTGAACAGGGAGGCCTCTTAGCTATCGCTTGAACAGAATACACTTCACATTTCCTCAGAGCATTTTATCTAGTCTGGTGTATATGGCGCCAAGTCCCACAGAGTTTCTGCCCCCTAGCTCCAGAGGGTTAGAGTCTCAACAGTGACCAGAAGCAGTAGCTAAGAAAGTTATTCTATGGTGACAGGCTCACTGCCATTATCTGAGTCATTAAACCTGTTGCCTTCAGATAGGCATTCCAGCAGTAGCTGTTGAATCAGGCTCACAAATGTATTTTGCATGGCAATGAAGCATTACTAAGCAAAGTGCTGAACTAAAATGGGTGCAAGACAGCCCCCACGCAGCCATGTGAAGCTGCTGAGGGGAGCTGCCATGTCCAGACTTTCATTTCTCCCCTGGGATGGGACTCGGCTCAGTCCCAAAGGCGTTAGTGGGATGGACTCTGCCCATGGAGATGTAACCAGTGCTTGTTTTATTTTGTTTGCTTTCTATAAATGCTCCCATTATACAAAAACCTTCAAAGCACTTATCGCCTTGTCTTGGTGTGGCCATTTCATCTTGTTCTACTTCTTTCTAAGGGAACGCTGTTTCCTTGGAAGGCCAGGAAGCACAGCGTGCCTGCTACGCTAGCCCTCCTCCCAGCTCTGCTCACGTTGTCCCCTGTGGCTTTGTATAACCACCTCCCATCTCTTTTCCTCTCTCTACCCACTAGTACAGCAAGGTGATTTGTGAGGCTTAATTCATGTTAGGCTAACACTGTGTAGCCTTTGAAAGAAAGGTCTGCTTCCAAAGGCAGAGCACCACCATGGTGCCAACTAAATTTTAATTTAAGTTACAGTAATAGCTTCTTTGATAGCCATTAAAATTAGAATAAATTGGGGCGTGGGGGGAGTTATGAAATGTAAAACCTATTTTGTGCATGGAAAAACGTACCCCTCATGCTTCAATACTAGAGGAGGACTGTTCATTCCTATGAGCCCAATTTGTTCAGCAGCTCTTAACACAAATATGTTGGCTCACTCAGAAGATCTGTCACTTTTTTCTTTTAAGTATCTGTCACTTGATCCACAAAGACAGGGCTTCTTTTTTATTCTGCTCTAGAAATTCTTCAGCAGAAGCCACTTGCTTTGCTGTCCCATCTCAGCCAACAAGTGCTCAGAGGTGAAGGAAAAGAAGTGGCAAGTGACAGTCCCAATAAAGAACAGAAGTGGAAACAAGGAAACACCCTTTTAGCTCTGTAGAGTTCATGATTCCTAAACCCACATGGTGACTGTGTTAATGCAAGAGCCTTTGCTGTAGTAGGCTCCATGGGTCAGTCCTTGCACCAGACTGGGAAGCAATTTACCTTTCCCTTGAAAACACTCCTCCCAGACACAGTTTTTTTTTTTCATTCTACATTCATGTAGTTACTGCCCTCTGGAGGAAAATGCACAAAATAAGAAAACTATTAGAAAAGAGTAAGGAAAAATGGCACAAAATGCATGGCTGCCTCTTGAATATCTATTTCCACCTCTGCAAGACTGTGAAATGTTACCGGTGAGTACTGCATGGTGTTACAGAACCTCTTTATGTTCACTTCATGCTGGAAGCAACTATGAGCTGCCATCAACTGGAGAACCAGGCCCTTTGACAAATCTTCAAACCACTTCATCCATATGTTTTTGGTTTGTTTTTTAAATGGTTAGAAAGAAAAGTATATAAAAATAAAATACTTTTTAAAGTTAAGTTGTACATATAAATCACATACAAAGTAAAAGTGTAGGTGCACGCAACATTCACAGCAAGAACACAAAAAATGTCTAGCAGACAAAGTGATACAGAGAAAGGGGATGTATCTTTGGCTAAGCTCAGCGGCCTGGCAGCCAGGTGCCAGGGCACCTTGTTGTCATTTTAGTTTTAATTATCAAACCAGCAAGATAGACAGCCCAGTACAAGAGAAAGCATGCAGGACTGGGAAACTTACCCCTCCAAGAGGAATGGAGGTGTCCAAGGACATGCAACTCTTCACACGAAAGAAGTAGAAATAGCCTAAAGTAATTGTAATAATTTAATTACAAGACCTATAACAACTGCTCAAAGAGCTCAGAGTGACAGCTTAAAAATACTATTCTGAAATCCCTAGGTGGGCCACTGTAAGTAGCTGTAGGTGGTGAAAGTTAATTTCAACCCCAACTGTCTGATTCCCAGCCATCAACTGGGCAACTGCCTTGCCCAAGCAATCAGTGCCAGTAACTGCTTCCAGTGTGTACCAGAGCACTTAGAGCCAAAACTGAAGGGAAAGACGATGGACACATACAATTTAAAAAGTATAATCATAAATCCACTGGCACTAAAGAAAGACCTCTTATCCAGAATATCCTAACTCTACAATGCTTTAGCAACTCTACAACTTTGGTGTCCAAACAGAAATAGAAACCAAATAGGTAAATCTAAGTAAACACATGAATGAGAATACTGCTATTTAAACAGTGGAGCAGTCACACCAGAGTGTTTTTAGGTAACACATCTTATGACAACGATACGTCCTTATACAGATGCACACGTATATGCACAGACATCAGACTGTCACAGGTTCCAGCTTCCTGCCGCCTTCGGTCCCCTCTTCTGGTCATTTTTGTCAATCTGGACGTTCATGTCGCTGTGGATTAACCGTTCGTGGACAGATTCTTTTGCAATTTTAACTGCTATTTGAACAGCAGACATTCACCTGAGCAGTCACAGCTCACATCATTTTGTGAGCTCCTTCTTTCAGAAAATCCTTCCTTAGTTAAGGCTAAATAACCCTAGGGAGTTTTTTTAAGTGAGAATGAGCCTCTTTAGTTCCAGGTCTCTGTTTAACCATTATGTCCTTGGACTTGGCCTCTTCAAGCAAATTTTCTACCACTGCCTGCCAGGTTTATTAGATAAATGCTTTCCTCCTACTGACAGAAATACACCTAGGTGAATTGCAGGAGATTTTTTTTT